ACAATTTGAACAGAAAAACCTATGCAATGAACTGTATCATTTCTGGATGACATCACAGCAACAGTGCCCTCAGTTGTCCAGGAAAGCGTGGATAATTTTGAAAGCTTAAAAAAGTGCTCTTTTCAATAAATAAGAGTGTAAAAGAGTTCATACATTGAAGAAGAGTACAAAGTTGCAGAATAATTGTGTCTTAGAAATAGTAATTGTGGCTTCACAATGAATACATGAATACCATACATTTATCAACACCATTCATCCCCTATGTCCAGTTACTAGGGTAAAGAGTCTTTTCTGGATACCTACATTGTGTTTTAAGGCCATGGCTGTTTGTGCAGCCAATTACCCACTGAGCTCAGGACTTAGCACAACTGGGGGCACAAGCTAATTCAGTATGCGGTACCTCAACCTGATAAAAACCCTAACCTACTTAATACAGAGCACTTGAAGGAAACACCCCATTTTGTGCCAGTTGGCTGGGGGGGTGAAAGCTGGACAGAGTTGATAGACTCATAAGTGAATTTGTTACATTTCCAAAAGTGTCAAAGAGTTACAAGTGATTTCAAAGATGTCATGTTGTGTATTTGACCTACTTTAAAGCTGCTTACTGTTTTATTAATGGTGCATTCTGGCTTTATTTGGTTGTTATGGAAACTCCTCTGGCCTGAAAGAGAGTAAGGAGGATTTACGTCAGGTTATGGATGATCTGCTGGCATTTCAGATGAGCTTATTTGCTCTGACATGGCTGCCTAAATTGCTTATTACTTTGCTTATTTTATTTCTGGGAAGATTACATGTACCTGTACCTCGGGACCTTAGGTGTATTAATACAGAGCTAAAAAACAGTTCAATTCTTTAGTCACATTGCAAGAAGATCAAAGCCACTTTGCATAATGCACGTGTACATTATTAGTCACAATGGATACTACATGTACATGTTCCTGGAACTTTTATAATTTGTTGTGTGCCCGGAAGAAGGTCGTAAATGCTTATGACCTTTTGCCGGGAAGCATAATTGCTTCAAACAATTTTTTCCTTGCAAAAGGACGTATGTATGCAACTGTTTTATTTTAATGAAATATAAAGATTTCTTTGCAAATTAGTTCCAAAAACATTTCCATAGTCGTTTGATAAGTTGTTCAAAGGTTCCTTTTCGCACAAATGTGTTGATTTTGTAGTAAATTTTATCCGTTTTTACTAAATAAAGAGAGTGTGGCTCTCACGCCCTGTTACCGGGAACATTTTTTCTACTGTGATCATGCTTCCGGGCAAAAGAGTTTAAGCGTGCTCACAACCTTTTGCCAGTCACACAATGAATTGCTCTCTAAACACAGACTGGTTACTTTATTCCAGCTTCAAGATAAATTTCGGCTTGACTTGACTGATGAGGAAGCAGTTCAGTACATGCAGAACCTGATTGATGTCAGTGTAGGTGCTGTTTTTGCTGCTGTTGTGGAACAGTTCCACAAATTTGCCCAGGTGACTAGAATTACACAGATCTTTGGTTTTGTTTGTTCAGTTATGACATACAGTTAGTGTATCAAGTATAGCATTTTCAATTGTCCCATCAGGCATGTTACAATGCAGTCAAGAACAATTTACAGTTTAGTGTACAGGCTAGGACCTGTGTGTGTGGTGTGGCATTATACAAAAATGATTGTGCATGCATATGTGGTTCAATGTTTTGTCTTGAAAGTCATTATTGCACACACAAAATATCAACTGGAATTACTGTACACATTTCAGAAATGTTCATGTAAAACTGCCAGTCGTTGTACAAGCAAACTGTTTAGCTCCGCACTGGGAAATAATGCTGTGTCAGTGGTAACACAACACATTGTGCATTGGTCCTTTAAACTCTTCATCCTGAAATAAAGATACTATCCACACGATATTTTTAAATACAATTCATAAATACCTGGGACAGCTTTCTTTTCCTATTGGTTGGAACGCATTATATGACTGTGTATTAACATTTGATAATGCCCACTGTGTAAATCACACTCTGGCACATGGATACAAGACAGTTTGATTGGGTCTGATTGGTCAGGAGTCTGTGTGCACTCAACATGCCATGCACGCCAAGTTCATTGAAGAAGATTCTATTGGACAACTTTTGAAAGGAATATACACTTTACTATAAAATGGACGGGGATGTTTGGGAAAATGGAAGTAAAGTTTTAGAACAAAATTGTTGGAAATCCATCATATGTTGACTTCTTTTGACTGAATATAAAGGTATTTATGAATGGGAATAAATACGTGCCAGGCCGGTCTTAAACTAAAGTTTAAGGCCTTGCTCATGAGAAATAAACTACTTTGAAATCAAATCACAGCTTGAAAGAAAAAAACAGTTTCATTGTACTTTTTCAGGAACAAGCTGTGATCTAAACTCACAGTGGAATTTAGTGTTGCAGTAGGGGAACTTTTCGCATGAATAGGTTGATGTAAGTTTATTCAAGCTGTAATGTAACAAAACTGTTATTTGTTTTGATTTGCAGTATTGGAGGAGATAAGTGCTGCAGTGGATGTCTCTGATGGCGCTGTTGCATCACAATTACTGAATTCGTCAACTATAAGTGGCGAGAAATGACGTCTACATGTGCTCTGGTACAACATGTCTTATGTTCAAATTCCATTTGAGGGTGCTGTATAAGTGTATCTGTATCAAGGAAGAGAAATAAAGGGAAGTTTGTGCAATTGTACCTAAATTCTGTACCAATTTTAAAAAGTATCAAGAATTATATAAATATTAAAAAATGGATGAAGTTATGGGTTCAATTTGACTGGTTTTAGTCAGCTACTTATCCTTTCTTTCTGGAATTTCGGGAAAACTGACAGTTCGGTATCAGCACAAACAATGTGATGCAACCTACAGAAATTTGTTAATAGCATGGGTCGGATGTGGAGGATTTATTCGTGGGAAATGTTCAAGTTTCAGTATATTTGTTTCCTAAACCCTGAGGCTTCTTGAGCATTCTTCTGTATATTCGTCAAAGGGCTTTTCCAGTCACACAGGCTCTATGAGAACTATAAACACTTAACTAAAGATAGAACTTCATACATTGAAAAAGTACAAGAATTTTGAGCAGGATAATTACCATTCTATCAGAAATCGACCAATTACCGTCCAAATTACCCCATTCTCAATTTATTCAAAATCATTTTTGACTGCATTTCCATGTTACAGATGTCATCACTATTTGCCCACACAGCTATTGTTGGTGATGGTTCCTGGAGAGTGTGCATTTGTGGCCAAGGGTGTTGCCATTTGGGGGGGGGTACTCATCACTTTCAAACTGATACACCATTGACAGTGGAAAGGCATCATTTCCAATTATTTTCAAGCAAATTGGTTTTTTTTTCATCACTATTACTCCTGTTTTAGTGTGTCTCACTTTTTTGTGGGGTATCCCTTTGCCCCTATCCCTTGCAGCTCCCCAGTTTATGTCCCATCATTAAATTTTCAACTGAGGGGCATTTCCATACAAAACTTAAAGAATAATTATACAATGCTGAAGTTCACAGTTATTTTGAGTAACCTTTTCTGACTTCACAAACGATGTTAGAATACTGCTACATTTGTTCTCCATTAGTTACCAGCGAAATAGACATTGAGCATTTTATAAAAGTACATGTAGTGATGGAGGCCTATTGAGTTCATGTAAATAATTGAAAATGTAGGGTGGTTTTCATTATAAATCGGAGATTGAGGTTTTCATTTTTTTTTCCTGGCTGTGATTGACCAGAATGTGAATTGCATGAATGGAGAACGTGTTGTTTGATGACTTACACATAATGAAATACTTTAATGATTTATAATCTCCTAGATAAACAGCGTGCAGTCAAACGGTCGATGTTTCATATTTCTTCAGTGAAGTATTTTCATTAGGCCGCTAAGCTAAGGGCTGTATTTTTACACCTTCCATCTTCAACAACAGCAATAATTAAAGGATAGCCTACTGCATTTCATTTCGAACTTAAACAAAATACAGTAACACCCATTTAAGACAGGCGTTCTAGAGTCACGCAAAACCAAATTGAAAGTAAATTTTGAATTAATTACGGTAAAAGTTCGACGTCTGAAACAGGAGCGACCAGACGTGCTAACTAGATCGACACTTTGAGGCGCTTGGAACGACACCAGAGCGACTTGGTTTTGGACGTCGCTCTTTACATGGGCCAAACCCAATGCAAATGTACAGTATTCAGTTCGTCTGTCTGAAACCAAAATTTAATTGGGTGGACCCGAGTCACTCTTAATTCTGTTTGGTTTGGCGCGACCCCAGAACGCCTGTCTGAAACGGGTGTAGCCCCTTAAAAGGAGAAAAGAATAATAAACTTTAAAGATAGAATCTTGTAAAAGAAACTTAAATTCAAGTTAAAAGAAATTTCGGCACTATTATCCCAGACTGTTTTAGGACGCCTTTATGGTTTGGTTTCATCCATATTTTGGAAGCTTGGCTTATGAAAGCGAAGTATAGAAAGTATTAAAAAGAAAAGCATTGTTCGTCGGATGAATTCGCCGTAGTTCATTTGGTCATTGTTGATGGCCAGAACTTGACAAACGTAAGATCTGTGATCTTTTTTTCACTGTGTCATTTTTCAGCATGGAGAGACAAGACTTGTGTTGAGGTATTTAGTTTGAATGAGACCTTGAAGAAATTAAAAGAGCTCGCAAAAAATGTGTTTTCTATGGTTATCTGGAAATAACATTCTGTCTTTAAATAAGCCAGACACAAGAGGAGGGCGCTATTTGGAGTGGGTAAATTTGAAGTTTGAAGATTTTACCCAAACCAAATAGCACCCTCCTACTGCTTCCGCCATACTTGAAATAGGCTGATGTTACCTAGTATAGTGCTAATTCCAGCGCGTGATCTTTACCATTTGAACGCATTTAAATAATTTAAAAATTGTTAGTAATTAACTTCTTTAGAAGAAATCTTGCCCCAAAAGTAATTAAACTGATTCATCGAAATTACATGAAAAATCAATATCTTTTCAACTTCCACCTCAAAAATACAAAACCGTAAGATTATGTGAGTGAGGGGAGCTGAAAATGGCGTCATGTTAGCCGGTTAACCTCAGGCAATTCCCAACTATGTCATACATGTACAAAAATAACATGTAACGTGTACAAGAATTGTTTTATGAAGTTTACAAAAATTTTGAAGTTCGAATCCATTCCACTCGGGTAGTTTTGGAAGGGAAAGTGGTGACTTCCCAACGTATTAATGCCATCGCAGTTCATTTGGTTTCTCTTTAGGGGTGAGGTGGCCTACTTAGATCATGTCAAAGCCAGACAGTTCAAAATGTCTTGTTGGGCTTTGATCTTGAGATGAGACCGTAGATGTATATTTGAGTCTGGGTTGAGGAAGGGGTGTGATCAGACCATTTTTCCAAAACCGCCGATAGTGGAAGCGAAGTTGGACATTTTTGCCTCTCTACTGCCGATAAACCATGAACTCGTACTTGACCTTGCATGCCTTATCCAGTTTGTTTCGCACACATCTGGATCGGGATCAGTGATCCAAGAGCTGGTTTGCGCCATCCATTAGGTGGGTTCTGGTGTCAGTGAACCAGCGACGGATCACCGATCGCGATGCAGATTTGTGTGAAACATTCAAACAAACAGGGTCATAGTTAGTGGAACTTGTTCGTGGCGTGAAATTATCACGTACTTGCGTGATACATGTACCATCACGCACATGTACTTACGTAATACTATCACTTACGTACGTGAAAAAATATTTATTTGTGATGGTAATACGTTTCCGTAAATTAGAATGTCTCAACTAGATTTTTTTCTTCGGCTGCCCTGCCGGATAGTGGCAACGCCTCTGACATCAATATACAGCACCGAGAACCGTAAACCCCTCACTTTGTTTACGAGCACGATATTAAAACGTCTCTCCCAATTTCTGATGCCGCAGGATCGGGATGCCATTGTGGCGACCTGGAACTATCAATGGATTTGAAGGTTGCACCATCCTAGAAGCCTCAGTGGGCGTCGTTCGATCTTCCACATATAGAGCCCATGACTACACCTTGTCCCATTTCAGAGGAAGACATGGTGTCACAACTATCCCCCCCCCGTTACCATGACATGAATTTTTGCGGGTCAGTGTTTGCTCCCAGACAACTTCATGCAGGCACAAAAAGATTCAAATATAAACCTTCTCTTAAATTTAAATAAATGTATTATAACTTACAACTAAATACTATGGTATAACAAAGGACAGCAAATTAATTATCTATTGGTATCTACAAATATTTACAAAAGTCAATAATGGAGCATTTCACGTGAGACCGAAATTAAGTCTATAATAGTCCGCGTTCGCAAAACGAAGCAAGATACTAACTAATAGAAATTTAAATGGCTCCTGCAATTACTTCTTGGTTGTAAAGAAAATTACAATCAATTAGTTTATTTAACCCTTCGCTATCGACTTAATGCTAATCCTTCACTATCAATTATTAAAACCTTACTAAAGCCGGCAATTAGATAAAAAAAACTCATTTATGCAGGGCCCACCGCGAGTAGAATACGCTTTCCGCGTCAAAGGCCGTCCCCTTGCCCGAACAATCGGCCTAAACCTTGTGCCGGAACCTCTGAGTAGGTAGCCGGGAAAAGTGTCGGCGGTGTTGCACTTGGCTAGGTTCTTGGTGGCGGTGCCAGTCGGTGTTCCAACTCGCCTACAGCCAACCTCCGGCCTGTCTGCCTCGGGCAGTTGGTAGGGCAATGGAGATCACGGTACGACACTTTAATCACTAGGGCTAATGGCTCATGCAGTCCTGGATGCCATTTGAATGATAATGCCACAGCCTAGATTAATGGCTATTGAGGTAGTGATAACATTAAATACAAATAATTGCATGTATATTGATCGCCTAATGAAACCGCTCCGAAGTTACTGGATCAAAATCACAAATTTAGAACACTTAATTTAGACCACTTAATATGTAATAAAGAAATGTTTAGAATAATACCCATCAATCAGTTTCTGATTGGAAACAGTGCATCCTCTGTGGTCACTTACATGTAAATCAACTGGAAGTGGTAGGCCCCTACATGTACTCAAGATCAGATTTATAAAACAGGAAAATAATAGAACATTTCATAAAACCTGAACCTCAAATTTACGTTCTGTTGGCAGATCAAATTCCTGACTCTCTCAGAGACCATCACCGTTCCAAGACTTGGCTTTCCGGTGGAAAATTTTAGAAATTTAGCTTATAACAAAAATATTGCGGCCGTCATGTCTGAGACGATCGGTGGCAAAAAGCGCTTTTTCAAAAATGGCGGGCTGTAAGTCACATGTCAAAGGCAGTATAAAAACCCAATGTCGTATAAAATGATAAAGAGACCATGGCAATATGAATATTTATACTTACTTATGTATTATCTATTTACACGATAGGACACTGCAGGTACGAACTGTACACACAACACACAGACGTTGACCAACACAAAATTAATCGGACCTACTGAGGCGTGAAGTAGGGTTCTTGTTTGCAGGAGCAACGCTGACACATGGAAGTCTGTAAACATGAGTGCACGTTTCGACAATCCTTGCCTTGTGATTATGTTCGAAATGTGTTCCTGCATCATGAATGAAAACGGCCTGGACTACCCAACCAGCGCTGACGAATCGTTAAATTTGTATCAGACATTGAGAAGGGTATCACATTTTTCTGATCGATTAATTATGATTAATTTTAAACACAAGTGTCCAATCTTCACGGGGGAGCACTTGGCACTGTATACTGCTAAAAGCTTTCAACTAGGCTGCACAGGAAAATGTCCTCATTATACACACTGAAAAATAATGGTCCAAATCTCCACCTGTAAGCCTGTTTAGGGACACATTTCTACCTCTGGTGGTGCAGACCTTGTTTTGGGGATGCAAGGCTGCATCTGAATGGGGGCTGTTTTTATATAAACGCTCTGAATCTTCACGGATGCAGCGGTTTTTTTTCGCCTTGCTTTAATACCTGTCCACATTGTTATTCATTTTGAATCTTGTGTCCTTGTTTTTGATGACCAAGGATATCAATGTGCTCTTGTCTTTGTATGCGAATGCTTAAATAAAGACAACAAGCATTCAAACATTTCTGAATGGCGTTTTCAACAAGACTACTGTTAAACTAAACCCATGATGGAACTTTATTCAGGAAGTTGTCAATTATTTTTGAAAACTGACTATAGAAAGTGAGGAAACTGACTGGGAAAATTCAAACTAATATTGAAAGCGAGCAAAGAAACTTTGACTGGACCGGGCTTCGAACTGGAGACTTTTGGGTTACCGTACCACTGCTCTACCACCTGAAACAGAAACAAATAAATGAAAAAAAATCCTCTTTGTGGTTTTCACGATCGAGCCTGAAAGTCAAAGGTCACGCAGCGAGCTTCTGGAACCCTCACGCGGTCCTCCTATGGGGATTTTACATTGGGCCGTCCTATCACGTTCTAGAATTTTTGGAAGAATAATTCCTGAAACCACCCCATGAAGCACTCATGTTGGAATTTTAGCTTTGTCTTCCTCAACTAATATTTAGGAGAAGTCACCTGGAGACGGAAAAAAACGAATTTCATTAATGACCTTTCACGTCCAGCGATATCGTACCTAGGTCTCCTTGTTCATGCAAGTTTGTTTTTACCCCGGGTTTACGATAAACAACATTGTAAAACATTGCAAAGATTAACCTACCTGTAGTCGATGGGTTCCATGTTTCGTTAATTTGACATAACGCAGTTGTTCGTAAAAGTAGATTATTGCTTTAAGTATATGACTTTATAAATCAAAAAAGTGTGTAAAATATTTTGATCTGGTTTTATTTCGGCTCTTACCGACAGACTACTACAAAATTTCAAACCGTAGATGTACGGCATTCGAGGTTAGTATGGGTCAAGCTGGACGTGAATAGTTCTGGAACAATAATTACTCATGGAAATCCACACATCCTGGCAAACTTGACATACATAATGTGCAGCTTTGTATAAGTGACTTAAGGATTAAAGGGTATTACATTAGCCATCACTCTATACACACCAATATGAGTTCATGCACATTTTTCTCGACAGCAATATAGCATTGTAACACCAGAAAACATAATGACAGAGTGAACTTTCATTCAAACAATGACGATGCTTGGAGCCGTATGTGTCTGTCAATGCTACGTCTTAATCGTTCGTGTGTGCTCAAGGCAACAGAATTGTTTTTTGTACCAACAATTTTTTTGTTCTTTCTTCGTATTTGCCAAATGTTTAGAGAAGATAGAAACATTCATCGTAAAATGAAAGCTATGCGGACGTTGTTATTTCAAAGCAGTTTAACATTGCTTCTTGTCAAGAAATTCACAACAAATTGATGACCAGTTTCGCTCGCCCATTCGGATCCCTTTCGATTTTGCCCAGGGAAACTCGAAGCTCTTGGCGGACTCGAACAAGTCGCTGTCGCTCGTAGATGACCTTTTGCTAGGCTGGCTGGCGGCATGACCGTGTAACGCACATCATTAATTGCATCCTATCTTATGCAAGAGTTTCTTGAAACCTTACGTGTGTATCAAGTACATGTACATGTACAAAAATGGATGCGTGGCATTTATACGAGATGTACCCAGAAAAAGATTGAAGGTACAGTACTTGTGGCTACGCAACGCATCTTTGAAGTGCCTTACATGCCCGACATTGGTTTATGTCGGAGTTATTTCTGTCCTTAATTGACAAGTTCGAGGCAAAACCTTTCTGTTTGTGGGTGAAAGCAAAAAACGGTGTAATATTGGAAAAGACCGCAGGAATGAAGCAAGCGGCCGTATGCATTACTATGAATTATTTTGTTGTGAAATACAATTCTTAATGGGAGATGAAATCTGACATGATCAGCAAACGGATTGAAATTATCCCTTGCTACAGCTCTCCCTGTGATGAGGGAAAGTAAAGTATCATCGCATTTTCATTCTCTGCTTGCGTAGCAAACATTTCAAAACGTAGATTTAAAGAACTTGAAATTTAGAATGAATAACAGCAGGAGGTTGATGTTGAGTGAAAATACATCCCACTTAGTATTTCGTTGAGGACTCCCATTGTGCGAAAACACGCCGTAATGCTGCAGGAGCACTACATCAGACATAACTGAGAGCGGGGAAAGGGTCAAATGTGGGAACATGCTTCGTGGTAATTGATTACATTTCTCGCGCCTTCTGTTATGCTACCATTACCAGGATATTACTGGTGGCCTCAGTAGAGCAGTTTGGTTACGATGCCAATTCGTGACACTCCGTATGTCATGCACGTACACATATATGTACCCTACCTTTGAATCCTCATTAAAATTTACAGAATTTAAATCCATTGCTCAACATCCCGTTACGCGACGTATCCTCGTCTAATTACCATATGCACATCACGTAGATGAGTTGGTAATGGCTCTTTGGCAATAGCCTCTGCACTCACTGCGGCTACAGTTCATCCTGATGTGAGTTGTGCTTGTCCGTGACCTGATGCTGTGTACTGATGAGCGACATATTCTGCATAATGCGAATGGTACGTGTGAATGGCAAGCCTTGGTCCTATGCACTGAATTGAAACTAGACGTTGCCGTTCATTCCGTATAACGCCTAGTTAGCGAATATTAACAGACGTTGCTTAATCATGAAATAAGCCCAATGTTTGTCGCATCGACCTTGTTTTGATGACAATACACCCTCAGCAACGAGGGCAAAAATTGATGAGACACAACTCGCAGGAAGACGCTTCTCTGAGTAGAGAAAATTTGTTCAAAGATCAGTTTCCTTTGCAGCTGTAATGGGTAAAATCAGTGGATTCCAGATCATCTTTGATAATGACCAAGAAGTCTTCAATGGAGGGGATGTCATTCAGGGTCATGTCCGCCTGGATTTGCAAGCAACTAAGCAGTTCAGAGGTAGGCCTATGCAGTATTTTACCCACTTCGTTATAAAACGATCTACTTGCAGCTATATTCTTGCATCCTGCACATTGTAATAGACTGATTCTCTACAATGTACACAGGCCATGGGTGATAAGGAACGTATGTGTTTGGGGGCATTGAGCTATGAATAGTATGATGCTGAGAACACATTATTTTGTGTACATTGCTCAATCACGGTTCAATCATGGTTCAGAGGCCTTATGCTCAGTGGAGCATGTACATGTAAGCACTGGAGCGTGTTACTCGACCTCCATGTAATTATATACTGACAATGTAGAATTTCAGGCTATTCAGGTGAAAGAGAGCAATATGTTCAAGTTGAAAGGTTTGTGGTAGCACCATGCGAAGGAATTCTTAGGAGTATGTGTGGTTCTGAAAAGATCCGGGGGATACTCAATTACGTTTCGGACTGCGTGCTGAGTCCGTCGTCAGGAGTATGGGAGATAAGTGACCTGCAAAACATTATTACATTTCCTGTGTAAATACTTGACCAAGAAATATAGATTCCACAAGAAAACCTTTGTAATTAGTCTGTTGCATAAAGGCGGCTTTCCATATGTACGTTTTTGGGTGCATTGCGTATACGATGCGTTCATGTGTTTCATTGTCACTGACACAAAAAAATCGACTCCATTAACGTAACGCACGTGTGCGTTGCGTTCGCGGGGCGTCAAAATCGACAAAATCGGAAGCGATTTTGACGGCTATGCAACGCGTGGCGCAAGTGTTGACACACATAATGGAAAGGCGCCTTAAATTAGATTTCTTAGTCTGTTTTTAGTGTTTATTTTTCGTGTATGCATGTATTATTTTGACTTTATGTAGCTTGATGGAGCAAATAATGGTGTGGGAGATAAGTGACCTACAAAACATGATGACATTTCCTGTGTATATACTTGACCAAGAAACAATGTTTGCGTCAAACGCATGAACAAAACAAAATCATAAAAGACACGAAGGTATACGCACAGTGTTATCTACAATTTATCAGATGCATAACCAAAACTTTATTTTCCTTGCAAAATAGAATTTTCGTCCTGTTTAACCAATTTTTACCATCCCAATATCACTTCATTAGCGTCGCCACATTGCTTTTTAAATCTCCATCACACTGCAGTCTTTGTCCCTGAGCCCCTTAGTTACGCTAAGTGCTTTTCATGTTTTCTGGCAATTGCAATGACGTAACTGGAATGTGTCATTTTGAGAGACCTGTCAGTATATGTGTAGGGGGGCCCTATATTCATATCTGTCGAAAACGCTTTCCTGAGGCTTCACCCAAACTCTTCCATAATGGGACTCAGTGATTTGAATTTCAACATGCAAAACATTGGCATGGTTCAACTTTATAAAACTAAAAGGAAGAAGGGACAATATTTTCCATCAAGTTTTACAAAGGTCTTATGGAGATTTTAAGAAGTCCAGAACTGAATTGTAAATGTATATTCATATCTGTCGAAAACTCTTTTGATTGGGGCCTGTGTGAGGCACTTATCGATTGCTTGAACAACCCGCGCAGCACTCGAAATCCAATACATAATTTATAAAAACTTAAGGAATAGTCGTCGTGTCAACGATAGCTGTGAACTGTGATGTATAGCAAACTGCGCTGAGTGATACGGATAAAAAGGGCACAAAACATTGTGGTCATGGCGTCTGTCCTGATGAGCTTGTTATAGGTACCGGTAGGTTTTTTAGTAGATTTATAGCTGCTCATGCTTCAATGCCGTATAAAATATTGGACAAAATGTCGTGAACGGTGTTTACTAAAGAGTTACACTTAACCAATCAAATCGTACATATATTTTGAACAAAACTTGATCAGGTTACAGCCTTCCCCTTCTTTCATTTTGAAATTCAGGATAATAAGAACATATTTTTTCAGGCACTGACATCGACAAACAGCTACTTTTGATTCTTGGAAATCTATCATTTAAGAGGGTGAGGGTGAATCTATTCACTTTACCTTTGAAAGAGTTCAAGATTGAATATAAAACCGTTGGATTTGTGTGTACAACTTGGGCTATATAGAAAATAAATAAATTACAAAAAATAATGCTGCTGTTGACAGAAGACATGTTGACAGCTGATATATGCTATTACTTTTCAAACTTTTATCGTAATTCTTTTGGACTCATAGGCAAGCAGTCCTACATTCATGTATTGCGGCAATCTCTTTAAACTCGTGGATCACTGTGGGTTTTTGACCAGACAGCATTGGCGTAAATCGGGGTGGGAGACGTTTGAGGCGGGGGATGAGCCATTGAATCATCCCTCACTTTTTGTGGTAAGCCAAAAATTAAAGCAGATTATAAAAATCTTCGGACTTCCCAACGAAAACAAATGCATACAATATCACTCTAAAACATTAAAAAGCCGTAAATAATTCATTCTGATGTAAGATTCTGCGTGAATGAAATACATATAATGTACATTAATATCATTTACACCGATCTCTCTCTCTCTCTCTATATATATATATATGTATAGTGTCATAATTATGGTGTCATCCCCCTTTCCCGCTTTTCAAATTTCCATGGCAAGAAAAATCTCTCCCTGCCCCGCCACCTTTCCCCATTCCTTACCCCCATTTCCGACATTAATTTAAGCCACTGTAAACGTGTAGGCCTACGTAAGTGCGCATTCACGCAAGTATCCCTCGTAAAAGAACTTGGTTGCATAGCGATGTAAAAGTGCACTGACAACTCAAAACCAGCAGGGGGCATCACTTGCCGAGCGACCGGTAATATTGGTCTTAATCACCGTTATCACGAACGCTGGTATTTCATTTTATCTTAGATATTTGAACGGTAAATGGAATTCCATTGATCTTGCTGCTGAGTAAAGAACAACACTTGTCACAGATAATAACTTCAGTCTGAGAAGACACACGCCTGGTGTACGTTTCGCCATGACCAATGCAATGGAATCGTGCCATTTGTTTGGGCCGTATTAAACTTGAGGTTATACATACGAGGATGAGCTGAAGAACGGCTTATGCCTACGAAGACATTGTGGAGATTAATAACGACAGTACCTTCGTATAACTGTCCTTTCTTGGTTTTGACACAAACCTTTTAGATGTTCCTGCATAGTCACTTTTCTGTATTTGCCAGTCGTAAACTTTACCAGGAGCGTTTGACAGGTCGAAACAATGTAACACATCAGTTATTTTGCGTAACGTACATTGTTTCGACGAGCAGTATCCCTTTTCAGTGATTAACCCTTTCAGTGCCATATGGTGCATGCTTGCATACTGCCCTCTACTGATTGTATGGGCATAACGTGACTTTACTATGTCAAACCAACATTGACATTATGGAGTAGTTAAAACAAGCTTCTAGAGACCAACCTAATCACTTAGTCTGCCTTTATTGATGTTTTCACAACCAAATTTCACAAAACAAATATTCTTATTTGTTAGCACTAGCCGGAAATAGGAAATTAAGTATTCAACTGTAAAATGATATAAGAGGTCCGAACAAAAGCAAAAATTACCATCACTGTACAAAATGCCACCCCCCCTTTCAATGTTGGGAGAAACTGCACCATGCTGGCTCGTTTCTACCACAACATTGAAACGGTGAGGGGAACTGCGGATTTCTAGTCCACTGGAATAAAAACCAACAAAATCTGACATTTTCTTTAAACCAAAATAATCAGTTACACTCTATTTTCTGCACCATGCTGACTCGTTTCTGCCACTATATTGAAACGGGGGGGGGGGTGGAATGTGGATTTCTAGTCAACTGGAATAAAAACCAACAAAAATTGGCAAACTGTTGACAGATTTAAGGAATCTTAGGTGTGAAATTTCTCAAAGCGTCCATTGACACACATTGGCTTATCACACGTTTAACAAATAATGCGGGTTTGGCTTCTCTGAGTTTTGGTACTGCAAACTACACAGTTTAGCTTTTGCCTATATGCATGTAGTTTTGCATGGATAATGCTGCACACCTTCTGACATAAAAGGGATGCTCTCGTACACATGTCCGGCACCTCCACTCTTCCCTGCTAACAGCAGGCCTTGGATCAGATAGAGTCGAATGTCAAGATTGGACAGTTTACGATTGATGTTAAAACTATTAGGCCTACACACTATTCTTGCATTTAGGACGTATATGTCTAGAAGAGCAAAAATTACTCGTTACCACCACTTCACCGATCTGTGAGCATGTGCATAGTACACACACTGTTGTGATGCACAAGCGATTCCTCCCATATGCTGCTTGTACTCAATGACAGTATTTGGTTTGCTGATGTCACGATAACCTGTAAGAGCCTTTTTTACACGAAATCTGCTTATTAGTTACACTACAGTTGCCATAGTTAGTCAAGAGTGTCACACAGCTTTTATCCTACCATACAACACACAGTTGTCCTGACTTCTGATAAAAGCAGGGTTTATCTCCTTTAGCCATAGAAAACATTTGGGGGTTTGCAAGATCTGGAATTCCTTGAGTCTTGTATCGCACAGTTCAACAAAAGCCAAAGCCTAGCTGGCTTAACCTATGAACAAGAGCAGGGCTGGCGTACCAATTATCAGCAAAGATGCAGTGTCCCTGATTTTCAAACCCATCAACAAAGTTCCAACTTCACCAGGTCGAGGTACTGCTGTTGTATGATAAGCTACATTGTCAGCATTTGCCTTCCCTTGACCGATGACCTCATCAAACCAGAAGTGAGTTGAACTTGTTTGATAAATATATACTGAACTCTATCGTTCCAGAGGATGCATTTCGGCTGTGCTCAATTTTTTGTCTGACATCGTAATATTTGAAAATGAACTTGTCCGAACACATACGCAGTTGCCTTCAACGACGCACCCAGGATTGGCAGTAAATTTCTTAAACAAATGGCAGCAAAGCCAGATCCGTGAACCTTTTGTCTTGTTTTTTCTATAACGGTGTCATATAATAATTATTTACACCAGATTACTTTAATGACTTCATTCAGGCCCTTTAAATTCCCTG